ATGGAAAGGCTAGGTGTCTTTGATCATAGGTTTCTGCATTCTGTATCCCTTGTTAGGTGACATAATAGGGTAAGTGATATTGTGGTAAGGCATCGAGTGTTATCTACGAAGGGAAAGTAAATCAATTAGGTTGCGAATCTGCTTCAATTGAAATATCTAGAACATGTATTACGCATTCCTAACCATCGCTTTCCTCAACAGTCAAAGTTACCTGATGTAGGATCAGGTTGGAAAAGAGCTAGTGGTGGTCAGATCAAAACATGGAATCAGTCTATGTAATGCTTGACAGTTTGTCTGAAGGTGTATACTGTCGGGTCGGGGTCTTCGGGTTGCTAAGATCAAATGGCTAGAAGCAGTAGGTGATATGGCTTAAAATCATCGTCCTCAGTGGCTCAGATGTTCTCATACTTTGTAATCTCTCATAACTATTAAACCTTATTGTGTTTCCATGTTACTATCGTTTCCCCCTCACATTTCTGCTTACTATCGTTTCTTGAATCTCTGTTTTCCTCTCTTATTTCCTCTTTTGTGTTCGATATGAAGTGTGGCAACTTGGACTGGTGCACTTCTGTGCATGGTTCTCTGTTAGAAGTCACTCATTTATCCCCCATAATCAATAAAGTAGACAGGAAACAAGTTGTGATAGAAGATACTAAGATGAGCTTGACAAAATACTCTTCAAAAATATTAATAATTTATAGTAAAATATGAATTACTTCTTGTTTTTTGGTTTTGGCAATTTACAGTGATTCTCATCGTATGTGCACTTATCAGTTAAGCATAGCAACATCTTAAAGTTTTCATCTACCAGCCATCTTCCAAAGTGCCAAACAATATACTGAGTTACAAGTATTATTTGTTGAGTAGTAGTTGTGAGTTATAATGATTAAATGCCTTTTCGAAGATAGTTACCCCAAGAAAAAGCTACAAAACACGCTTATTGTATGAGAAATAATAATACTACCCAGTTACTCAAGCTGAATTAGGTGGAATGACACCAACTGGTTATAAACTGAGTGCTGACTGGCTAACTGGATGGTTTCAATATAGAACTTTGAGTAGAAGTACAGGAGTTCGGGGTACCACACTCCATGAAGCACACAGAGGAAGATAAAAGAGAGAAAAATAGAGATTCGGAAAACGATAGATAGTAAGCAGAAATGTGAGGGAGAAATGATAGTAACATGGAAACACAATAAGGTTTAATGGTTATGAGAGATTACAAAGTATGAGAACATCTGAGCCACTGAGGACGAGGATTTTAAGCCATATCACCTATTGCCTCTAGTCATTTGTTCTGAGCATCCCGAAGACCCCGACCCGACAGCTTACACCTCCCTACGTGACTGACTGGCTCAGACCAACTGTCAAAGATTTCATTGACTGATTCCATGTTTTGATCAGACCACCACTAGCTCTTTTCCAACCTGATCCTTTATCGAGTGCCTGGACCAATGAGTCACACCTCCTGTATGATTATAAATTAGGTCAGACTTTATTTGTCTATTTCTGTCTACATTTCAGTATTCATGCTAAGGAGATTCAATGCTTCCTTGCTTTTTTTTCTTCAGTTTTACGTTATTCGTTTACCGTGACATAAGTGATGGAATTCAAGACACACATATTGATTGGGTTTTACTTGATGAGAATCTTTTGGGTGTGCTGGATCATCAGTTAGGCATTTGGCTTAAGCGTGCATTAGTTCACATGATTTCAATGAAACTTTAAACTCATTACCTTATGTTGTATAAATATCATTAAAAGGTTTCTTATGCGTCATATGCATAGACTAGTCGATTAATTTGAACAAGGATTGCAACGTTTATTTAATTCAATTTTGGACTGAGGAATGCAGGTACATCCAGATGATGAGTCCCAAATAGACCGAAATACGCATCCTGGATTCCATAGCTAGTCATCATCCGCCTAATTACTTAAGGTTTACGACTATTTCAATTGGTGGTATCAATTCAAGGTGGTTACATTAAATTCACCTCTTTCACTTATCTGGAAAGGATCGTTTCAACTACAGGCGACAGCACGGTTGAGGATGTTAAAACCAGTTAGGAGTGGAAAAGCGAGACAAACCTTCATTAATCTAAACTCAGTTTGGAAGTCTGCTGAAATAAGCATGAAGAAGAAGATTCGGATTTTCAACACCACCGTTAGGTCAAGTCAATTCTTCTTCTTCTTCGTCTTGGTGTGTGTCACCAAAAGCATTTCCAACAGGCCACTGTAGACTTTTACCAACAGCTGTGCTGTCTTCGAGGGTTGCACGCTGAAGATCAGATGGTCAGTTGGAAAGGGTAAGCTACAAGAAACTCCGGGAACGAATGAATCAAGAACCTACGACCTGAGAAAAATTCGGAATGAAATGTAGGCGGATCAGACACATGCTCAGGAAACTGTTGAGGGATATCACGTGCTAGGTTGGTCCCCGAGTGGAACTTGAATGAAAGCTGACGAGTTGGGTGTTAGCTTGTGTGTAACATGGAGGAGGTCGTATAAAGAGAAAATGGGAACTTATGAGAAACTGTGGAGGCAACGAAAGACGACTGCAGAAAACAGGATGAAATATAAATGTTGTGACTGTTGAAGCTGTATGTTCCACTCGGAACCCAAGAGAATAATAACACAAAGTCATCAGCTATCAAGGATACCTCACGGGCTTTTATATTACAAATAAGCTCAAGTTGACTGTAACTAAGTTTACCACATATTCATAGTGTACACTCTAAGGTCTTTCTCATTTTGAAAGACAAAAGAAAGTTTGAGCAAATAATGTTCTTTTCGATAAATTCCCTGTCCGTCTGTACAGTTATGTGTTTACATAGTATTAAAGAATAATCGTTAGTAACACTAGCGATGTTTGAGTTGTTAGGTTCAGTGGAATGACAATAAGCATAGAAGATGCAGTACTTAATTGAATGTCAGATAAAGTCAAGAGGAGAATTTATGCGACAATTGAAGATTGTTAAAACAATGACGACCAAGGTAGAGAAAGTGTCTGAAAACATTAGTAAGCTTGGTTTCTTAAAGTGGATGATTACGATGGCTTCAACTGTGTGTAAAAGGCGAACTCCTAAGGTGAAGTCGAGATCAATCAGAATGCCGTAACACTGATTCTCTGTTGAGTATCTACAAGATATGCTAGAAAAGAGCTGCTAATAGACTTTCCCTGTCCTTTCCTTTGTTTAACCAGACAGGATGATATTCGGAAGTCCGATGGTAAATATGCTCAATTGTATGCCCTATGTGACTAGCTCCATCGAAGTAGTCAGACTGATAGATAAATAGAAACGTTTAAGTTTTCCTCTTTAGTTTGATCACTTATTTTATATGTGTATTGATGAAGTGCCTTAGTCCAGTGAATATTTTGTTCATGAAGAATTCCCACTTTTTCAGTGGATTCATTTTCCCCCTTAGCTGTACAACCGCATTTGTATACAATTTTTTCATGAGTTGTCACAAACATAGTTGTTAATTCAAGTGTTGGTTTGCAGGGATTTGGTTTGGTTGGTTACAGGATTTCATCATGAGTTGACGTCGGTTAGAGAACTGTTGGAAAACCTGCAGGGAGTACTGTACAGCTGTTTCCTCCCTCCTGATTCGGGATTCTTCAGCAGTACGTACCCACCGGGGTCTGAAGCCAGTGCCTTGCGGTTACCGGGAAAATTCATAAACCATGCAGCTAATGTCCGATGAATCCCAGCTTATACCAACTTCTTGATTGGGAGATTGTGGAGTTATTAGAAGTTAAAATTATGGACCATTGAATTAGCTCCCAGTGAATATATGGTCTACGAGCTTGCTTTGTAGATAGAAAGTACTGAATTCGAACCCTGGTGGCTGAGTAATTATGAAGGGTCCTGAACTAGGATGAAACAGCTGTCCAGTAATCCCGCAGCACTGGGTGACGTGGGTTCGAACCTCAGGAGGGATATGTGTTCCTTCGAGGTTGCAGATACGCCTTACTAAGGAGTGCCAACTAGCACAAAACCTAGGTCAAGCAAGGCTTCCTGTCGATTGCCTCCAACCATCTAATACTCCCAGGTTTTCCACATGATGAAATCGTTTTTAATATTGATCAATGCATAAAAGGAGTTGAATTCTTGTGTTAGATTTACGCTACGGGGTGAATAATTTAGTGAATGAGCTGTAATCAAGATGTATATAGAAACGAAGGGGAATATACAATCATGTAAGAGTTCTGAAGAAATACAAAATTTATAAGGAGTTGGAAAAAACTAACAAACAAACAAAAATCAAATCAGTAGAAATCAAAAAGGTTGTTCTCATGATAATAGAAGTGGTTGAATAATTTTCTATTGTATGCATAGCTCTCTTTTTTCCAACTGAATAGCTACGGCTTCAGCAATGCAGTAAGGAGACGAAAGCGTATTGTCTGTCTTTGGCAAATAGTTATTCTTCACTTTGTAGATTACTTTGAAGGAGGAGGCGTTTGTTGAGATAGCAGAATGACCAGTGTTGATTAACAAGGTGTTCGATTATTGCACTCCTTATATAGAGCCATTACTACATTTCTGCAACTATGCGGAATAGTGTTTTCTTGAACCCTATTAGACAGTTAACGCAGCGAATTAATCGTATCTCGATTTCAGTAAATACAGTGTGGAATAAGCTTTTGAAAGTTGGAGGATTTCATCATAAGCTGACATCAGCTGGAGAACCATTGGAAAATCCTCAGGGAGTACTGGACAGCTGTTCCGTCCTAGTTCGGGACTCTTCATCAGTACGCACCCACCGTGAGGGTTCAAACCCAGGACCTTCGGGTTACAAGGCTAGCAAGCTCGTAGACCATTAAGCCCTTGAGACCCGATCCAATGGCTAGCCGATGAATTCTAACGTTACTGCCTCACCTTCAACCTGCTTTATCCTACTGGTCATGGCTTCCCACTAGAACCCCAAGTATTTTTTTCTTTCATTTATTCCTTTATTTATTGTTTTTATATTTTACCTTCTTTTATTTTCATCTCTAGGTTAAGTCAGCCAGATTCGTTTGCAGCAGAACATATCTTTGATTGGATGTCAATTGGTGTAAAGTTGACACGTTTAAAAGCATCAGCTGATCATTTAAAAGAATGGTTAAATGGATATGCTATGCGATTTGTAAATAATTCTGGTTTACATTCATTAAAGTATGTATCAGAGTTTATTTGTGGCGCACCAGCAGAAGAAAATGATTTAGGCCATTTTTTTCAGAAGGCACTTAACGAACTCACGGCTGATGATACTGATGGTGGTGATTCAAATAATAATTATAATAAAAATAAAAGGATATCTAATCGTGTACCTATCTTGAATAATTTACCTCAACAGTTAGAGGAACACGCTGGTATGGATGTTGAATCGGCTGTTAAACTGCTTACGGATAAACCAAAACAAACTGTTCAGCTTTGTCCATTAATCAAACAAATATTAAGCTCTTCACCATTTCTTGTAACATTTGGTCGTTTAAGATACTTTTTATTCGGCCAGTTAGCTTACTATCCATCGAATCAATTCACTGATGAAGTTATCCAAAATATGGGTGAATACACGCGTATGCTGAATAGTACACGTCAATGGACTACAACGTATTTCACGGATATTCGTCCAATGTTTACAAATCTATTCAGTAATGAATCAAACATTATGCGTACAGTACGTGATCATTTAACAGAATGTTATGCAAATAAACAAAAATTATACTCTGAACAGATTCAAAATACTTGTTATGCTATATTACATATGTTAAATCCAAATGAAACTAGTACCTATGAAGGTTTAAATAAAAATTGGAAAATGTTACTTGGTCTACTCGACTATTTCATTGCTTCAGCACGTGACCTACTGACCGACTGTTTTCAAATTGAAAAGAAATTCTTACCGTTCGAAAATCGTGAAGATTTTGACAAGTATATGTTTAAACATCAAACTGATCTATTGACATCGCCAATTGGCTTAGTTTTCGACCAAATCCCAATGTATTATAACACGAATAATGATCATCACAGTCCTCATCAGTATTATCCTAGTTTAGAGGCAATTTCAAGTCTGCCTAGTGTTTTCTCTGTATCCATTCGTAAAGATCCATCCTATTTATATCCAACAAGTAATTATAAAGTAATGGATGGCTATGATATACCGATACCACGTCGTAATCCCCAGAAAGAAATGAAATACTTCACTAGTGGTTTTATAGATGTACAAGAACAATTGACCAAGGCATTAATTCAAATAACATCAAAGCATATTGGTGCTACAAGTCTATTCAACGATCTAATTCATAATGTTGGTATTGAAATGAAAATGTTCCCCAGTCCACCGTATGCATTCGATTCATTATTAGCAAATATTATGCTATTGTTACCACAATTAATGGTACTCACATGGGTGTTATCAGTTATCTTAAGTGTTAAATATATGGTTGATGAAAAAGAAAGTCGATTAGTAGATTTTCTACAAACATTCGGTATTTCTTTATCAATCAATTGGTTAGCTTGGATAACAATCTCATTTATAATTATGGCATTTTTTTCATTGCCAATTGTATTAATTCTGAAATATGGAAAAATTATCCCATTAACTGACATGACATTGAGTTATTTTATGATATTAAGTTATACTGCATCATGCCTTGTATATTGTATTCTGTTTACAGTTGTTTCTGTTCGTGCGACAATTGCTTCAGTTGTCGCCGGTATCACCTACTTTCTATTGTTTATGCCAGCAGCTGCTATTCTCCGCTATGATGAATTACCTAGTGATATATGGTTGATAGGATTTTGTCTTATTCCACAAGTTAGTCATTCACTGAGTTGGGTATTTTTAAATCGTCTTGAAATCCAGGGTTATGGTGCCCAGTGGTCAAATATGTGGCATACAGGAAATTCGCATAGTATCTTTTCATTAGGCACTACAATAATACTTCTATGGATTGGTACAATATTAATGGGTATTTTAGCCTTTTGGGGTGTACCAGCAATGAAAAGATATTATACAGTGTTTATGCATAAATATGTGTTGCATGGTTTTTTAAATCTATCGTCATCGTCGAAAAGTGTTAAAAAGCGAAGAAAGCGTAAACTTAGCAGTCTTGGATTTTTCGAGGAGACAACATCATCGTCATTATCTACAGACAATTCTCAATTATTGATGAACAATACTCATAATAATAATAATCCATTTAGAAATGAAAGAGAAAGTTTACTGAATCCACCGACAACAATACATGCCGGTATGGGGAATTCACACAGTGGAATGATGATACCACCGCCAACTGTTGTTGTTGATGGTCTATGCAAGGTATATCAACCGTCTAATCGTGTAGCACTGCATAATGTGAATATGAATTTCTATGAAGATCAAATCACTGTAATATTGGGACGTAATGGAGCTGGTAAAACGACACTATTATCTATTCTAGTTGGTATTCTACAGCCTACAGAAGGTAAAATAACTATGCATGGACATGAAATACAGAAAAATTTAGGCATAATAAGAAAATTATTGGGTTATTGTCCACAATACAATATTCTCTATGATTCATTAACAGTTGCTGAGCATATCTACCTGTTCGGTACACTGAAAGGAGTGAGTAGTTCTAGTCTAACGGAAAAATTGAATGATTACCTCTCTAAACTTGGATTGTCGGATAAACGAAATGAACTGGCTAGTCGATTGTCTGGTGGTCAACGTAGAAAACTGTCATTGTTCTTGGCATTTCTAGGCCAATCCTCTGTGATACTTCTTGATGAACCGACCGCATCATTGGATCCATTCTCAAGACGTGCTGTATGGGATTTGTTGAAAGCTTTGCGTAAAGGTCGTACAATTATTTTAAGTTCACATCATATGTATGAAAGTGAATTGTTAGGTGATCAAATTTCAATTATTTCAAAAGGTACAGTATTGTGTTCTGGTTCAAGCTTATCATTGAAATCAGTTTATGGTTCAGGGTATCATTTATTGTTAGAAGTTGATCCTTTAACATTGAATACATCTACAGGGAATAATAATAATCATAATATTAATAATAATAATGAATCATTGTCTACAGCTGGATTGATGAAAGTTATACAAACTTATGTGAATGGTGCTCGTCTCTTACGTCATAATGCTAATAAATTAACAATTTATCTACCAACTAGTGATGCATTGACAGGGAATTTTACAAAATTATTTCAACAATTAGACAATCATGAATTTTGTCAAATGTATCATATACAACATTTTGAAATCTCTGATTCATCTTTGGAGGAGGTGTTTCTCACAGTGACTGGTGATAATCAACCGCCTGAAAGTCCTACAGATACTATTAACTATTCTATTGATCATGAGAATGGATTTAGCAATGTTGAATTTCAAGCGTCTATGAAACAAAGCGATCGTATCAATGGCCACCAGCAACATCATCGTAAGAATAGTTTCTCTCATCGGAATACTCCCTCATCAAGAAATAATTTATTTTGTAAAAATATGCTTAAAGCAATGTTCTTCAAACGGTATATCTATCTGAAACGTCATAAATTATCATGGATTATCGAGTTTGTATTTCCATGCATATTGATTATCACTGCGATAGGATTTCTACGCTTATTTAAACCACCTGACATTCAACCGCCAATGGATATTAATCATTGGCTATTGAAAAGTCAACATATCAATGAATTACTTCATTTCTATGCACATGATACTGATGCATCCTTATCCAGTGGAAAGAATCCTTTGCAATCTTATGTGGAAATGTTGAATAATCCGCTAAGTTTAACTGGTACTGGTTGTATTCCATCCAGTTTGCATAAATTTCAACCATCACTTAGTTCAAATTGTTTAATTCAATCAAATGGTCAAATGAAAATAGACAAAGCGTATTATTCAAAAGTTTGTCAAATGTACTCATCAGCGTCAAAAGAGTCATGTCATCCATTAGCTACTGGAGATGTATTATTGAATTTAACTGGTGTTGATATTCCTTCTTATATACTTAATCATTCTAAAACAATGAATAAAGTTCTATTTGGTGGAATTGAATTTCTTAATGTTGAAAAATTCGAACTGAATGATATGCTTTATAATATTTTCTCAAAACTTGGTAATTATTCCCAGGTGTTTAGTCAATCGACTAGTTGGCAAGAATTTCTCACTAGTCTACGACTTTTTTTACCTCCATCAAAAATGATACGTATATGGTATGATAATCGTGGTTATGTATCAGCAGCAGCGTATTTAAATCTTTTACAAAATCTTCAATATCGTATGATTTTAATGTCTACAGGATCAGAGTCTATGAGGAATGGTGGCGCAGGCACAGGCGTTGGTGTTGGCCTCGGTCATCCAACAAACTCTGGAATTATAATCACTAATCATCCTTTACCTAATCCAGAAATATCAGAATTTACTCAGTTGAGTGAAAATATGAAGGCAGATTATTTGCTATCCTTATTTCTTGTCCTCTCGTTATCTTTTATTCCGGCTAGTTTTGTTAGCCTACTTGTCTATGAACGTTTTAATAATTCAAAACATTTACAAAATTTATCCGGTCTTTTGCCTTCAGTGTATTGGTCAGCTAATTTTATTTATGATCTTACAAGTTATTTAATCTCTTCTTCCGTATGCATTCTAATTCTTGTTATTCATGGAGAATCGGCTTATGTCCAGCCAGAATCAATTTATCAATTTATTTTAACTATCTATCTATATGGTTGTGCTATGATTTCATTAACCTATGCTTCTAGCTTTATATTTAAATATCCGAGTACAGCATTTGTATTAGTGTGTGGATTGAATTTAGTCATTGGGACTGTGACTACATTTATCTGCTTTTTTGTTGAAATTCTCTCTTTAGGAGGGGATAGTGATTATGCAAAGACTACACTGTTCGTGAGTAATTGGTTTCGTATTGCACCGCATTATTGTCTTAGTAGTAGTGTTTATACAATAGCTGTCAGAAATTTTTTCACTAAATCAGGTATCCCGTATAAACAGAATGCATCATTATGGAGTTTATTAAGTGTGGATATGCTGTGCTTATTATTACAATCATTTTTATTGTTTATATTTGTGCTATTATTGGAGAAACGTTTTTATATTACACAATTAATGCATTGGAAGCGAAGAAGATTTTCACGTGGATCAGTTTATATCGATTTAGAGTCAAGTATACAAGTGAGTCATTACTATTATTATTATTGTTATTATTATGATTACTTTTGATGCCTTGCCTTGGATTCCCAGTGGAACGTCGTACAGTTCCAATAGAACATCTCCATTTTGTCCTATTTTCTGCAGTCCTCTGTAGCTGGCTCCATGGATTGCTCATACGCTTTCATATTCTTCTTACACTATTTCTTACATAGTCACCCTCGGACACACTCACAACTCTTCGTTAGCCATTCAGATTCTCTGATGTGTCATGTCAACGTGTGTCCGATTCATCTCCGTTTTCTTTGCCATATTTCTTGAGCAACAGGTTCATTCTCAAAGTTTCTTCTTGCTAATTCGTATTTTTGCCAGTCATCTGATCTTCAGTGTGGAGCTCAAAAAGGTGGTTGGTGATAAAAGCTTCCAAGGCCCCTTGGAATTACTTTTCACGATGCCTGTGCCCCAGTTTCTGACCCATATTTTGAAGAACTGAATAACTTAACAATGTTGTTAAAAATCCGGAGTGTGTTCTTTATGCGGGCTGAGTGCAGAAGATTTTCATACTGATCTCAGAGTGATGAAAGTCTGTCTTGCTTTTCCAATCCCGACTGGTTTTTAACATCCTAATTCGTCCTGATGCCTGTAATATTGAAACGATGGTCTCCATTTCTATTCAACTTCATCATAGACGTACTAATGGAATTAACCCTAACTCACTTCACCGACTCAGGGATTGACTTGCTACCAGGGGATAATCTCGTTGAATTAGAATATGCGGACGATATAGTCCTTCTAGGCGAGGACACTGACAAAATGCAGAGTCTACTGAACACCTTGAGCAACAATCTTCGTATGTTTGGCATGCGATTCACCCCTGTAAAATGTAAGATGATGCTGCAGAATTGGACTTCATCGACCCCTAGATTAGAAATAGAAAGTGAAGTGGTAGAGCACGTTGACCACTTCACTTATTTGGGAAGTACCATCAGCCCCAACGGGTTGGTCTCCAACGAAATCTCAGCACGAATACAGAGGGTAGTTCGCATATGCCAGTTTACGCTGTCTCTGGCGTAGACGTGATATCCGACTATCGACCAAAGGGCGTGTGTACTGCTCAACAGTCCGCTTCGTCCTTCTTTTATAGCTAGCTGTGAAACCTGGCCATTGAGAGTGGAAGACATGAAAAGCTTGGTTACCTGTCTTTGATCATAGGTGTCTGCGTTCTATCTCCCATGTGAAGTGGTATAATAAGGTGAGCAATTTTGAGGTTAGGCGTCGAGTGCTAGAGAAGAAGGGGAAATCAGTCGACGAGACTGTGAAATTACATCGACTGAGATGGTTAGGACATGTGTTACGTAGGTATGCCTAGTGATCACCTTCCTCGACAATGGGCAATGTTAGCTGATATAGGGTCAGGCTGGAAAAGAGCTAGCGGCGGCCAAACGAAAACATGGCACCAGTCAATGAAATCTACCGCAGTTAGTCTAAGCCAGTCATGTGGGAAGGTGTAGACTTCCTGGTTGGGGTCCTCGGGACGGTAAAAACCAATGATTGGAAACAATCGGTGATATGGCTCAAAATCATTCCCAAATAATGTCACAGATGCATCCACTCCTTGTGACTTATGATTTCCAATGAAACTATATTGTTCTTCGTTATTACTATTCTTTTGTCTCACACCTCTGTTTACTGACTATATTATGCATTTCTCCTACTTTCTTCTCTTGCTTTGTGTGCTACGAAGAGGGAGTGTGGCGACTTGAACTGGCGCACATATGTGCAAAGTTCTATGTGAAGGAAGTGACCTCATTTAAATTTCTTTTGATGGTGATTGGTGCTTGCTTCTGTTGGTTGGTTATCTTCGTCACCTCCATTTTCCAAATGTTCACATGAAATCCTGTCTTCGCTGACTGCCTCTTCTGTAAACTCGTTGGTTTTCTTGTGTAAGTCTCGGACTTTATGTTGTGACATCAGAAATAAATCGTCCGTGGAGTCCCTATCTTCTAGAGTCTTTTTATCGATCCAATGTATTCCTGTATTCTCACTCCCTACGTGCGGTGTTCTACATAATTCAGTCCACCACAATCAACAGTACTATCGGTGATAGGAGGCAACCATGTCTCACTCTTTTCTTTACTCCAAAGACTTCACTGACGTCTCTGTTGTGGATCTCCTGGTAAACGGTATTGTCATATAACTGCTGAACTAGGTTGGTAAAGATTTAGGGCATTCCACAGCGTTGAAGTAGTCTCCAAATTACTTCACAGTCAACTCCAGCGAAGGCCTTCTTAAATTGAATTAAGTTAAGGCAGAGGTTTGAGTGACATTCTATGTTCTGCTCGATGATGATTCGTAGGGTTACAATCTGAGCTTTTACTATTTTTGTTTTCTGTTTCCACATAGTAATTAGCAAAAAACACGTATTTTGAGTAGTGATCTTTTCTAGGTTGTGTTGAAATATTCCTATGCATTGATCACATCAACATATAGCACTCATAGAAGCCAGACTGAATTGTCTGAAATAGAAACAGCTTCGCTTGACTGTAAAGCTTAGGGAAAATTTGTTTGAGACTGGCACGTTACACGTGGTCTCTTTCCGATGGCTTTTGAAGCTATGTCCATATGAAGACTCTACGGCTGGTGATGAACCGCTTCAGAGCAAGTCGGAATGTGCAATTTCTGGGGTCTATCTTTTCTAACCCATTGTTCTCAGAACAGAGAGGTAGCACACCTAGCCTGCTGTTCATCCTAGAGGAACACCCTACTGGTGTTAGAGCCCTATTCGAATGCAGTACGACTTCTTCCTAAGTCTGACAACATAGTATAAATAATTTACACTATGATGGTAACTACTCCTAGTTGATCCCATATCCAAGCGACAGGAATGTTAAGACCTTTGACAGAACTTTGTACATATTTAATGCCTTGAAACAAAGCGAATCCAGTAAAATATAGTTCCTCTTCGAATAGATGTACGGTTGTCCATATATCCGCTTTTCACCGAAATCTATCCGATTTTGTTATCAAGTCACTAACTCGTTTTAATCAAGTGAATGTTTTGTTATTCCATGCACATTAAAGTAAACAACTTAAAAGGAATTACAATTCACTGAACCCATAAGTTTCAGCAAGACTCCTCATCTGATCACTTCGTGTCAATGAAATGATGATTAATGATTTTAGATCAGATGAATGAGATGATTTCAATTGCTATTTGTTGTCTGGCCAATAACTCAGCGATCAGAAAGCACAACATAATTAAAGGCTTTACATATTTCTATGTAACATAAGAATAATTCACGCTGAGAAGGCGCATGTCGAGTCACGACCTTCATTGACGGACAATATTTTTGATTGAACATTAGTTAGTAACTAGTGTAATGTGTCTAGTCCTATCTTTGGTGCAGACTGAATTCAATCGGTCATGTTTGCAACGGGGCCACCATGCTAGGTGGCTCGCCATCATGGTGCACTGTGAACTGTTGGTATTAGATGGTTGGAGGGAGTCGGCAGGAAGCCTTCTGCCTAGGTTTCGTGCCAGTTGACACTCCTCAGTAAGGCGTATCTACAACCTCGAAGGAACTTATGCTCTGTTTGAAGTTCGAATTAGCGTCATCCAGTGCTGCAGTCAGAGACATTAAAACTGAGCTATTTGGACTGATAGAGTTCAGTCTTCACCAAACAAAGGACTAGACATATCACACTAGTTACTAGTGTCCTACAGGAGGTCAATCGTGATCCCGAATAGCTCAGTGTTAACTCCTCTGACTGCAGCACGCACTGGGTGACGCGCGTTCGAATCTCAGAAGGGACATGAGTCCCTTCAAGGTTGCGGATACGCCTTGTTGACGAGTGCAAACTAGCATGAAAGGTAAGTTGAAGGCTTCCTGCAGATTGCCTCCAACCATCTAATATAGGCAATATTGTCAGGCATGGGGTTAGATTGGAAAACAGCTAGTGGTGACCAAGTCAAAATCTGGCATAAGTCTGTGAAGTCTTTTGACAGTTATTTTGATCCAGCCACATAGAGAGGTGTAGACTGTCTGGTTGGGCTCGTCGGGATTCTCAATACCGATGGCTGGAGACGACAGGTGATATGCCTTAAAATCGTTCACAATGGCACAGATTTATTCACTCTTTGTGATCTATATCTGTTAAACCCTATTGTTTTTTCATGCTACCATTGTTTCTCCCGTTCTCGTTCTTTTGAGTCTCTTTTGTCTTTCTTTTTCTGATACATGGAGTATGGTAGCTTGAATTTCTGCACTCCTGCGCAGAGTTCTGTGTTGAAATTCAGTCAGTCAGTCAGTCGTACTAATAAGGCAAGTGTACCGTAACATTCACTTGTTTTTAACTGTTCGTTTTCATCTTTTTTCTTCCTTTTCCCACCCTCTCCCCACGTTGAACCTCCACTTTCTATCAGTGTTATTCCTTATTCCCCATGCCCATCTTTCGTTCCCTTATAAGCCTTTTATTACTGCTATTAACTGAAGTCATTTCTAATTCCTTAGAATTATGTTGCCTACTCTTTACTGGAGCCTTCAACATCCACATCACATATTGAGGTAGACAATAGGTTTGATTACTCAAAATTTTGATATTATTTGCCCTGAATGTATGTTGTATACAGAATGAAGGCTTGTATTTTATATGTTCGTCTTATACGCTTCTTCAGAATAGCATTCATTTTATTTTGTTATCTCCATAGTCAAGGTGTTCGTTAGGCGAAGATCTTAACAACTTTGTCTTAGTCATTCGGTTGGGACTGATTGACTGACCGACTGTTTTCAACATAGAATATTGCACAGAAGTGCAGAAGTTCAACTTGTTACACACCATGTAGCACACAAAGAACGGTTAAATTGGAGAAAAAAAAGAGATTCAGAAGACGATAATAAGCAGAAATGTAAGCAAGAAAGAATAATAACATGGATTATAAAAAAAGTGAATACATCTGTGCTATTGAGGAAGAGAATTTCAAGGCAGATCGCTAATAGTCTCCAGCCATTGGTTTTTAGCATGCC